ACAGGATTTGCTTCATTTAAAAGTCTACTGAAACAGCTCAGATTTGCAGGCCTCCCTGCCTGGTCCTGTTACCTATGAGGGAACATAGATACAAACAAATTATTCTCAGAATAGTTGCTTAAAAAAAACATCACCACCATAGTTTATGTAATTAGCTAAAAACTTTCTACACTATTCTACATTAATGTTGGCTCTGTGTTCTAAATTCATGTAGGTTTTTATGTCATGGGAACAAAAATACAGTTGAAAATATTTTTTTTACAATATTTGCACTGTTTAAGTAGAGAATAGGGACATAATCCATACAGTGTTTAAATAATTAAAACGTGAATCACAGCCATCAACCCTTCCAGAGCTAATCAATATTGCTGATTAACAGTGAATACAACATGTTTAACTGAATCATAAGAGCTTATGGAAGTTTCATCAAATTGGATGGCGAGAAGATCAAGATTCAGGCATGATTTCACCTTGCTTCCTTGCAAATATATATTGTAAAGTATATATTGCAGAAGCTAGGTGAAGGTAGTGAGAATCTTTGTCATACCCGTTTATCAGATTAGAGTCTTTTGGAACATTCAACAGGAAGACCAGTTTCCTAACAAAGACTCCTTGTCAGTCATTTTTATTCTATCTCTCTCCACTTCTATTAAATAGGAAAACGCATACACAAAGGGAACACTGGAATCTGTTCTAACATTTCCATTATTCAGATCTATGTAAAACACACTTCACATTCCATGCCAAGTCCCTTCTCTTAAAGTGAAATGCATCTGAGATATGACTCTTGCAGCAGAATGGTGTGTTTTCACATCATTATAGCTGCTGCCATCACTACCGTCGCATACATAACTGTACCGGAGACAATCCCTTTTGTGGTCATTACACTCCATTGCATCATCTAGTATCTCTGGTAATTTTTATAACTTCCTTCCTCTGCTCTTTTATCACAAGAATTTAAGGGATGAATCATAGCCACACAGGAAACCAGGGAGACTGATATCAACGGTGGGTGCTTTTGTTGATGCAATAGTAACTTAGCGATTAAAGCTGTGCAAACAAAAATAGCAATTGGTCTGGGAGGAAAGAGGATGGTGGGTAGAGAAGACTCAGGTAGGACAACAGTGCCAGAAAGAATAACAAAAATGATTTAAAAATATGTTTTCACATTATTTACAAGTGTATTAAGAATGCTATTAGCAATAATATTAATACAAATTGAAATTTTATTTATTTATTTATAATTCAAACTTACATGCCGCCACTCCCCTGGGGCTCAGAGCGGCTTACAAACAGGCTAAAATCCAATACAATTTAAAAACAATTTAAAAACAACAATATCGGAGATCAAAGGCCTCTGAAATGTCAAAGAGAACAATACTAATATTTTACTATAGATGAAGAACTGAATATTGCTGAAGAACTGAAAATAATTGAGATGGATTTTTATAAAGAAAAATCCACAAACATTTTAACCAAAAAAGGACCAGTGTTTCATAAATGAGTGTATTAGCAATGGTTAAGTCAGAACCTGGAAGTAATGGTCTAGAGTATAATATGAGTTCCTTTGGGCCCACCAAACATCCCAAACAAAAAAATGCCTTCCCAAATTTTCCCCTCATGAGAAGATTGGTGATTTTTTGCTTTACCCAACCAAAGACTGATATTTTCTATAGTTTTCTATATTTGTCTTGCTTGAAAGCCAAAATCCAAGAGCTTGTTGAAAGGCCACACAGAAGTACTAATAATATAATTTCCTCAGTGCTTCCTACAATTGTAATGATAGGTCCCGAACACTACTGGTTACTCCCAGCTAAATTATACACAGTGAATGAATACTGAAATATAATTCACAACTTATGAAAACTCCCTTGATTCAAAGGATCTATTTTGGTTGAGACTATCAATAGGATTCAGGTTTAGGTATACTCTAGGTTTCTGGGCTTCCAAAACCTATGGATTCATGTGTCTACAGATATAATATGTTTAGACCAATTCCAGCAACTGCTTAGAGATGAACTTCAAGTACCTACTGGACACCAAAGATAAGAAATACCAACTTGGCTGCTGCCTTGAAGAGGGGAGGGGTTAAGGTTCACAACTCAGCCTTTTACAAGTCTTGGAAGATAGTGGATCAACTGTCAATGGGCAGATATTCCTCCCTCCTTCTGTGTGGTTCACCTGTTATCTCTACTCTTAGATCTATGAGAGATGGCATCAAACACCCCATGCAAGAATAAGGAGATAAAGAAAGGGAAAAGGAAGAGAACAGATTGCAGTGAAACACTAGTGAATGAGCTGGATTTGAATATACAGAAATAATAGCTCGCTCCAAGTCTCTTCTATCCTTCTAAATAGCCTATGGTATTTGTTTTTTATTATTGGCAAATTTTCAGTTATTTTTGTTCATGTTTGGTTTATTAGTTTCCTTCCTCTTTCCTCTCATTCTGTGTTATGTTTATACTTGATTCCAAGTCTTTGGGCAGGATCTGTTGTTCTTTCAATTAGTCAGTTATTCTAATATGTAGTACATTTATTTCTCTACCATAAGCAGAAGAATTCCAATAATTAGGGAATTTTTATATAAACAGATTGAGATCATAGAATACATTATATTTCCTATCTACACTATTTTTAACTTTGAATTTGTTTTAATAGGTTTTAACTGGGAATTTTTAAATACTGTTTATATTTAATCCTGTTTCAATGTTCATATAGTTGTATATTTTATTTTTGGCATAGAAGGCTCTCTCTGCCTGTCCTTTCCTTCCTTTTTCGAAATGGACTGTGAATCCTCCCACTAAAAGCCCATCCCCCTGCTGTGATTGGCCAGTCTCTCAGCTGGCTTCTCAGCCAAGGGGAAGGCTGTTTCTGAGACTCCAAGTGGAGGAGGGGAGAGCAGATGTGCTTGGCGCATGGCAGCATGGCAGGCATGTGTGGACAAGGGAGAGCGTGGGAGGCTGGAGGGAGGCTCAGGCCAGCAAGTACCTTCAAGGCATGGGGTGGGGGTTCTGTGTGGGAAGTTTGGCCCAATTCTATCATTGGTGGGATGCAGAATACTTTGATTATAATTGAACTATAAATCCCAGCAACTACAACTCCCAAATGTCAAGGTCTATTTTCCTCAAACTCCACCCGTGTTCACATTTGGGCATATTGATTATTCATGTCAAGTTTGGTTCAGATTTATCATTGTTTGAGTCAAAGTACTCTTTGGATATAGGTGAACTACAACTCCAAAACTCAAGGTCAATGCTCACCAAACCCTTCCAGTATTTTCTGTTGGTCATGGAAGTTCTGTGTGCCACGTTCGGTTTAATTCCATGTTTGGTAGAGTTCAGAATGCTCTTTGATTATAGATGAACTATAAATCTCAGCAACTACAACTCTCAAATGACAAAATCAACCCCCCCCCCAACTCCACCAGTATTCAAATTTGGGCGCATCGGGTATTTGTGGCAAATTTGGTCCAGTGAATGAAAATACATCCTGAAATATGAAGTAGCAATGAAAATAATGTTATGGTTGGGAGTGACCACATTATGAGGAACTGTATTAAGGGTCCGCGGCATTAGGAGGGTTGAGAAATACTTGTAACTACAACAACAACAATACACTAGTATATTATCATTTAATCACAATTTCACCATGAAACGAGGCTGCAAAATTAATAAAGCCTAGAAGTAGATTGATAGCTTTTAATATATGAGAAAAGCTTCAGTACATTTAGTGTATCATTTAAGGTCCTTAGCAGGTACAAAAAATAAAATGTAACTGAGATATGTGATCTACTGTAGGTTCCCCTTCATTAATGAAGTCTAACATCTCCCCATTGCAATTATATGTATGTAATTTAGAAATTACATACATCACACTTTTCTCCCCAACCCTGCCCAACTACCCTACACTTCCCCGATCCCCTTCTTCTTTTTAAATATATGTAAGCAAAACTCTAATACATAAATATATATATATTTAAAAAGAAATATATATATATATATATATATATATATATATATATATATATATATATATTTCTATTCTGGCCTCTCACAAAAACATAGTGGTTTTTGCAAAACCTGGGTTTTTTTTTCATGTTTTCCCTTTATTTCTTGTTGCAGTCCTTTACCTGAAATTTGCCTTAAAACAGGTTTTTTAATTATTAGGAAAGGAAGGGCTGCATATGCCGTATTTTCTGGCATATAAGACTACTTTTTAACTCAAGAAAATCTTCTCAAAAGTCAGGGGTCGTCTTATATGCTGGGAGTCGTCTTATGCGCCAGGAGTCATCTTATGCACTGAGAGTCATCTTATAGAGTGGGTGCTGAAACTTCCAATCTGGATTGGAGAATCTGGTTGCCGCATATGGTGGGGGAGCTCAAAAATGGCAGTGGCTACATCCCTGCCGTATGCAGTGACTGTATGAAACCATTAAGGGTGACGCTGTACAAGTACCGTAGAAGAAAATCCATTTATCAGGATTCGTGGACTTAATGTGGTCCCGATGGTGAGGTGAAGGGGCGCCTCACTGGGAAGGTGTAAGTGAAGTGCGGAACAAGCTGCAGGCGTCTGGGGCACCCGTGTTATGGAAAAAAAGAGATAGAGTGGCTCTGGGCCCAGAAAAACACCCCTTTTTTACCTGTCTGGCCCACCTTTGTATACTACTGCCATACCTCCTCCTCTGCATCTCAGATATCTCTCCTGAAGACTGCAGTAAAGCAGTGCAGGTGCACATGTGCAAGATCTGGGAGGCAGAGAAGAAGGTACAGTAACAGGAAAATTACCATATTAAAATAAAATCTGATGCTTTAAAAAATTTTATTTGGTGTGCGTTGGAAGAGGGGTAGTCTTATACGGTGAGTATATCCCAAACTCTATATTTTAACTGGAAAAGTTGGAGGTTGTCTTATACACCGGAAAATATGGTATGTGTGTATATTCATTTTGTATGATGTAGAAAAGACAAGATCACATTTGTTGGCAATTCAATTCAGGCCTACCTTGTCTTCAACTCTGTTCAGACGGGCACCAATTGTATTATTCCCCCTGTCTTTGTTTTTTTCTGTACAGAAAGAACATTTTTAGATGAATATCATGTGTTGGAACAGTATAGAATGAAACCATGTGACTGCATTAAACAAATCTACTAGGGCTACTTAATTGAATGCTGCTGACAGAGGGGTAATTTTATTATGTTAAGAGAAGCTTTTTAATTACTTTAATAATATCAGCTGAAACCTTGCCTTTTAATGGGCTCAAGAACCAAGTGCACTCTGACTTCATATTATACTTTAAATTCGAGGAATTAAACTACATTCAACCCAACCAATGTAAATCTGATTTGGAATAATTTAGTTTAAAAATAGGCTACTGCAAGAGCTGTACATCAGGAGATACACTCACGCACTTGCATGTGATCAGAAAGTATGAATGGAAAATAATGTTAAGAATTTGAGTAAATCAAAAATTAATGTTTTCTTGAAAAATGAAAGTAAGGAATTTGAATATTCATGGAGATTATACAGGAATGGCCCTATCAATTGTATTGTTTGAGATGTTTTCCAAAAAGATTATGTCTTGGAGATTATTTGCTTTGGAGATTTCACAACCTTCTACATAGTATTAATAATATTGTCTATATTATCCTGCCTGAATGTTTGCCTGAAGACTATGTTAATCTATCTAACAATTATATAAGTGCTTATAAGTGTGGGTGGAATGGCTCCAACTTTATAGTTCACTGGAACTTGGAGGGTAGGAGGCCGATTAAGATGGTCTGCCTCAGGAACCTTACAGATCCAAGGGGATTCTTGATAGCCTTTGGGGATGTTCCTGTTGTCTTGGTAGTTGATCTTGCTGAAGCCCTGGCCGAGCTCTGGAATAAAGAAATGTCCAGGGTGGTGGACATGATTTTTCTAAGAATCCACCCCCCCCCCCCACGGCCCAATTAATAGAGCCAAGTGAACCCTCTAGTTTACTGTTGAGCTGGCTATGATGAAACAAACGGGACAGAGACTAGATAGCAGAAAACTAGGACCAAGACAGTTTGGGGTGCCTTGGTGGATGATCTATGTGGGAACTGGGCAGGAGAAGTGTGTCTCTACTTGTTCTGCTGCACCTCTCACCTCCATACCATAAATCATGGTATCCTTATGAGCTGCCTTTCTAGTTCTAATCCTTCCTGTAGGGGTGCCACTGGGGTGGTCCTGTTTGACACCCTTGTCAGGGCTCAATTTTGTTTCCTTGCTATACATGAAACCACTGGGAGAACTCACCTAGAGTTTTTGGGTTTATCATTGGCTGTTTCCACTCTCTTGAATTCCCTTCCATAGGAGGTAAGACTAATCTCCTCCCTGCTCTCCTTTTGCTAGCAAGTCAAAAACATTTTGTTCATACCGACTTTTAACAAATGGCTGCTGGGAGGAAGCTTTTAAATGCAGTGTGTGCTTTATTTTAACTCTTGCATCCTTTTAGATAATTTTATATTGGATATAATTAATATTTTTTTCTAATGTTGTTTTAACTGTGTATAAATTGTATTCTGGCTTTAGCTAATTCTTTTTGTGAGTAGCCTTGGGTCTCATTCTGGGAGAAAGATGGCATATAAATGAAATAAAGTAATAAACAATTAGCAAAACGAATATTGTTAACAATGCATTTATCATCAGTTTATCAGATATGGTGTTTTCCCCCCAGGCAAAATCGAGAACAGGGACAATATTTATGATACAATAGGTATCTATATCCAAGCATATGTAGATATATATACACACACTCCTCCATAACATTTTTTTTCACAGATTTCTATTGGTGTTAACTTACCTGAGACAGAAATAAATAGTGATGGCTTTCCTATAGACTGGTCCAACCTAATGAGAAAGAAAAAAGGTAAATCAACAACAGGATAAACCCTTTCTCAGACTTCACCAAAGAAAATGAACAACAATAACAGTTGCTTCTCCAGTCATAACACAGGAAGAAAGTAAGTCCCAAATAGTTGCTGCTCAGTAACAGCATTCCTTTGAACATCCTTTTGAGAATGTGTGGAGACTGACTGGTCCAAATGGATCTTTTTGAAGAAGCCACTTGTCTCTAAAAATGTACTGCAGCCTCTTAATGCATTCTAAAATTATACATTGTAAGGATTTACCAGGAAAATAATTCAACTTTTATCAAAGAAATGTGAGGATTTGAATTTGTTTTATTTTTCTTTTCTGTTTTCTTTTCTTTTCTAAGAAGCCAATGCGTACATAAAAAGGGATCCAATGACAGTAATAGAACAATGTTTCTAATTTTATTTTTGTACAATCCTATCTAGTGGTTTAGATAAGATTAAGTCATGTGCAGCTGGACTGGTGAAAGAAAACTTCTTCATTCTCTCCTCCCCTCAAGTGGGACTTGGTTCAACAGGGTGAGTTGTGATGAAGAGGGTAGGGACTCCCCTCTCCTGTCTTACCAATAGAGAACAGATCCTGGATTCAACCATGACTTAGATCCAACCATGGTTAGGATCCATAGTGAGACAAGTGAAACTGGCTTAAGAATAGGGACTTTTTACAGGAAGCCCCTTTGAATTATTACAGTTTTTTTTGCCATACCCAAGGGTCTGTAGTGGGTAAAATCAAATACTTAATATTTGAGAATTCCTTGTTCCTAAGCACTAATAAACCAAAGATGAAGAAAACAAGAGATAAAAGACACGGGAGACTGAAATGGCATAAGAAAATAGCTCAGAATCCCAGTGCATTTTTCTTCTGTTGCCCAATACCATCCTATCTCTATCTTGTTCATTTTGCCTGAGGGTGACATTAAACAATATAAGACAAATGCAGGATTCTTGACCCCATGTTTACGTCCTAAAGCTTAGTGAGTGGAAATAGAGGGTACAGACAATGATAATTTGTCGACAGGAAGGCACTGATAGCCGTATCCCAATCCAAACTCTTTTCTTCAACACAATTTTCCTGCCCTCAACTCCAGGTAGTGCTGACATTGGAAACTCTGGGCAAAGGACTTCTTATAGATAATTTATAAATGGGAAAATGTTAAGCACTCCCTCTTCTTCTCTGTAATTCTTTCTCATGGTACTGCTAGCAATCAAACAAATGCCAACCAGCTTAACATGTCATTTTATCTTGATATAGTAGCTCTTCAAGTAATTTGAAACAATCTTTACTGATTCTCTTGACACTGCATATCTCAACATAAAATATCTCCCCTTTTCACTTTTTGTCTTCTTCCATCTCTCCACTGCCAGAATCTGCAGCATTTCTTTAATATAGTCTGTTCTAGAGACTGCTGGCCAAGAAATGATAATCCAGAGCAGAGTTTCTTAAATTGTGCTCCTCCAGATGTTTTGGACAAGCTGGCTGGGATTTCTGGGAGCTGAAGTTCAAAACACTTGGAGGAGCACAGTTTAAGAAAAACTGGTCTAGAGAAAGTAGATAATCATTTCGTCTCAAATCAGCTGTATAATGTGCAGTTTCCAAAGACCTTAAGTGCTCAATACATATTTTTCTTTTTTCTTTTACTTCTCCTTGGTTTGGGCAGAAGGATTCTATCACTCACCTTCTTTGAAGCTCTTTTATTCGCACCATTAAATTCAGATGACCCTGAGAATATTGTTCTATGACATCTCGTACATCATAAGGCTTTCTAGCTTGCTATAAGAAAGGAAAATAATGTAACACTTTTAGATCCCATAATACACAGATAATAGAACTAGTTGATCAGTAAGACTTGAAAGTTAATATTTTCTTCTCTAGGGATTTGCCATATAACTTTATACTGTACAGGTAAAATAAAGAATTAATTATTTACAAGGGGATGTGGTCAGCCAGAGCCTGGACCTGAACCGTCTATTCCATTGGTTCTCAACCCGTGGGTCCCCGGGTGTTTTGGCCTAGAACTCCCAGAAATCCCAGCCAGTTTACTAGCTGTTAGGATTTCTGGGAGTTGAAGGCCAAAACATCTGGGGACCCACAGGTTGAGAACCACTGGTCTAGGGCTTTAAATGTCATAACCAGCATTTTGAATTGTGCCTGTAAACAGACTGGCAACCAGTAAAGCTGCTTCAACATGGGTGTTGTCCACTTCCTGCAGCCAGTTCCAGTGAGCAACCTGGCAGCAGTTCTTTGGATCAGCTGAAGTTTCTGAGCACTCTTCAGAGACAGCCCTATGTAGAGTGTGTTAGGGTAATCAAGCTGGGATGTAATTAAGGCATGAACCACTGTGGCCAGATCTGGTTTCTCAAGGAACGGGTGCAGTTGGCACACAAGTTTTAATTGTGCAAAGGCCCTCCTGGCCACTGCCAACACCTGGGCCTCCAGGTTTAGTGCCGAGTCCAGGAGGACTGGGGGAGTGTAATGGGCTGGATGCCTATTCTTTGGGCTGCCTTCTGACTCATCAGGAGTACCTCTATCTGGATTAAGTTTCAATTTGTTTGCCCTAATCCGGTCCATTACTGATGACAGGCACTGGTTTAGTGTCAAGGCATTGCCTGTGTGCTCCTTTCTAGGTGATGAATCGAATTTCTGTAACCTCCATATATTCTTTTTAAAAGCTTGGTACATTGGAGAGCTGCATGATCTATTTGAATGGCAGAAATATCAGTTGACTGCTGGAGTATTCAAATGTAACCCACTATGCTAGTGTGTGCTTTGCCATGCTACATTCATGAGGCTGAGAAAAGTGGTTTTAGTAACATTTTAAAAACTCTCATAATTTTATAAATGTTGTAAGAATTTTAAAAGCAGAGGGAATGGGGGTATTAAGTGCCTTAGTAACCATAAATACTGTACAAAGATCAGAGATGAAAAAAATGCAAACCAATGTATATAAAACACCTCTTAAAATTACTGTAACAGCTTTATATACATTAAAGTGCACCAATGTCAGCTTCTTGTGCTAGAAGCTAGCACTGTTATGCATCTGGAATGTGACAGCTTTGCCTTGTCCACAAGGTTTAAATGGACAAGATTATTAGTTTCAGGTTACTGCAAGTTCTATCAATTTCATGACAGATGAAAAATTTCATTTAGAAGCAAGATTCTTATTTGAGGTGAATAATGTTCTCATTTTGTCTGTCCCCCCCTCCACAGCCACATCTCTTCTGTCCAAACTTCCTTCTCTGCTATGGAACCCAAGCTGTGGGAAAAAGAAAATCCCATGTAGGGCCATCATCATGATGAAACAATTCACAAACAAATATCAGGGGGTACCAATTTCCAGTCAGCCATGATAACCCACTGGGTGATATTAGGCAAATTGCCCACAGAACACCTATGATGAGGCTCTCATTTAACTGCATGTTGCAGGATAACGAAATATGGCCCTCTTAGGACATGATGCAAACATTCAGAGTGGATCCAGATCCTTTGGGTTATTTTTATTGGGTTTTTAATATATAATTACAAAGAAAAGAAACAGAAAAATAAAGGAGAAAAAAAAAGAAGCATGGAGGGAAATACATAGCATATAAACAAAGACTGGGCATATGCAGTGATATAAGTTTACCAAAGTATTGCACTGTGTTCAAATGTTGAACTGGAATTCCGAGATGTCAGGATTAGAATCCCCACTCAGTCGGGATAACCCAGTTAGTGAAAGTGAACAAATTATACTCCCTGAGACTTAAAGACAATCACTAACTTCTAAATATATTTTGTCTACAATACAGTCACCATGCATCTGAGTCAACCTGAAGGCATATGATCACAAAAATATTTCTACATAAAATATAGTCAATACCTTTTGGAGATCTTGTGCAAATTTTATAAAAGCCTTGTTTGCCCCAAAGCAACCCAGCAAGTCCTAGTTCAACGTTCAGCACCACAACAGTTCTAGTTGAAAAGAATGAATGCTGTGTGGCTAGTTCACACAGCCCTTTCATTATGTGGTTAAGATCACAAAGTGACTATCCTGCATGATGACTGTAAATATATATTGTTTTGTCTGCATGCACTTTAACACAGTCTAGTCAAAATCACACCCAGAAGAAATAAAACTTTCTGTGGGAAGTACAGGTTGATAACTCCTTATCTGAAATGCTTGTAAGTAGAAGCATTTGGGAATTAAGAGTTATTCAGGTTTTGGAATACATTTATTTGCACACATCTTAGAAATGTAACTCAAGTCTGAACTCGAAATTAATTTACATTTCATATATAACTGAAAATAATATTATAAAAATGCTTAATAATTTTGTGCATGAAAGAAAACCTGTGTACACTAAATCATTAGAAAGCACTAAATCATTAGAAAGCACTAAATCATTAGAAAGCATTATTTCAGCCACCCTTGTGGCCAATTTTGGATTGGGAAGATTTTGGAATTTCAGATAAAGGGTACTCAACCTGTACTGCACGCAATTGTCCAAAACCCCAAAGAATACCAATTGCTGAAAATTTCTTTCAACTAAGTAAGATTCTGTGTAACTTTACAACTCTGCATGGTCTAATTTTAACTGCTCATGCAAACAAACTTTCTTCCTGAGTTTTGCTGTTCTAAACTACTTATTGTTTGTTTTATTGCAGGCCTCTTTTATAATCAAGAATATTGATGACAATAACTAAATTAAATGAATGAGAATTTTCTCCTTGTTATATTGGAAAATTGTTTGCAGAAGGCAGAGTAGGGAATGGGTGGCATATACTAGATATGTACACAGCTGTTGTATAGTATTAGTATCCTCCACTGGGCTGTACGTGTGTGAGAAAGTGTAGCAGCCACAGACGAGTATTTCCCTCCAAGTCAAAATGGGAAAGAATAGAGGAAAGTTCAAGCTGCAGGAAATTCTGGGCAGAATAACAAAACAATAGCCAAGTACAAGAGTGTGCAACATTCTTTGAAGTACAAAGATCTTTGAACTATTTTGTTTGCCAGACAGCCCTCTGAAGTGATTACAGAAAATTACATATACAATTCCTGATTGATAGTAAGGTAACTGTATTACGTGTAAAGCACTATACAATTTGTGGCAACAATTTGAAATCCTCAGTTATAAATACATCAAGAGCGTCTGGTGACATCAGTGCAAGCCACAACAGACATGTCAGTTTCTCTTGTCATTAGTGGAACCCCATGCTATATTTTTAGCTTTCTTCACCATAATAGCAGATTTCATTACTTATGTTTAGTAATATAAAGAATGTGGCTATTAAACGAACTTTTTGTGGAATCTTGGGTTCATTAGCATAAACGGGAGTTCATTATCTGAAAATATGCCTTTAAAATAGATACTCTAAGAAACCAAATTTAGCTAATCTTGGTAGTGTATAACTGAAGTACAAACATCCAGCTCCAGTGGCACCATGTACAAAACATGTAATTATAATATGAGAAAATAGACTGTATTTCTACTTTCATTAAAATGCCTGTCATTTAAAAAAGTTTTCTATGCATGGTAAAGTTATACATAGACCAGAATCCCAATGTCTCATGTGCACACAAGTATCAAAGCAGTTGGACATTTTTGTTCAATATGGATGTTTACATTCAGTTCAAAATTGTCAAAGCAAAGTTGGACATGTGTATGCAGGTGTCCATTGCACACTGATGTCACATGTATTGCACACAGACATGCTTTGTCCATCAACACACATTGTATGTTGATGCACACTGCACATGGACATGCATGAACATTTTATGTAGGGTTACACAGTACAATGAATACACAACTTCATGTGCAGATATTTTTGCCATATAATTTTGATGTAGGATCTTGGGGGCCACAGTGGTGCAGCGGGTTAAACTGCTAAGCTGCAGAACTCACTGACTGGAAGGTCAGCGGTTCAAATCCATGGGATGGGGTGAGCGCCTGTTGTTAGCCCCAGCTTCTGACAACCTAGACATTTGAAAACATGCAAATGTGAGGAGATCAATAGGTATCACTTTGGCGGGAAGGTAATGGGGGGTCCATGTAGTCATGCTGGCCACGTGACCTAGGAGATATCTATGGACAATGCTGGCACTTTGGCTTAGAAATGGAGATGAACACCATTCCCCAGAGTTGGACTCAACTAGACTTAATGTCAAGGGGAAACCTTTACCTTTTTAGGATCTTGGCCGTAACATTCAGATATCCCTAAAATCTATTTTGACAAGGATTTAGTTGAGAAGCAGTCAGGGGGCACAGCAAGGTAATGTTCATTAGTCTGTTAAGTTTTGACAATGACATCAAGGTTTATCAAGCCAAGATGCTGTCTTGAAATGATCCCATTAAAGCCAGGTGAATATTAATTAAGATATGAAAAAGACATTAGGAGAGACAGATAGATATCTCAACATCTCAACATCTCAACAACAACAGAAATAAAATACAGGCATATCTATTATACTATTTGTATTAAGGGGAAAGAGCAAAATAGCCATGTGTGAAAATGGCACCAATTTACTCATGGTGGTGAAAAGCTCTCTGGGTAAATGGACAAACTAACTGTGGCTGAAGTTCATTTTCTTTTTGTGTACAGGGGCAGAACAGTAATAATCCCACATATGCAAGGATGAAGCCCGAGCTGGTGGTGATTAACATGGCCAGATATCTTGGATAGGTGGCAGATGGCTCAATAAAGATGTCAGCCCCAGCTGTGGCAGCTGGGAAAAAAGTGAACTCTATATCAGGGAGCATCTGAAAAAAGAATAAAACTGATAGCACTTTAATGGT